CTTTGTACAGGGCTGTTGGGAATGTTCTGTGACGTTGTATCGGTGGGGTTTATATGGGTGTTAACACACAAATGTCTATCAAGCCATGCACTTAAGACTTGTCCACGTTATCTTATTGAAATTACACAGATAGAAAAAAGAGAAATAAAATAGCAATGTGCACCCCACAGAATACAAAGAGCAGAGCAAGATGAGAGTTCCTTTAGGAACCTCACAGATGGCAAACTCCATTTTCACTTCAGAGGAATCCTTCATCCAGAATTTTGTTTCACTCATTCTCTCTTTTTTAATTCATAGTTTGACCCCTTATATATGTATCACCAATAATAGATACTTTTTTTGCCTTATTTTGAAATTTATATGAATGGAATCAGTGTGCTTTTCTCTACTTTGTTTTTTTTTTTTTTTTTAGTATTTTTCAGGTGAATGTGTCACTTGCTAATTATCCTTTTAAAATATATTATATGTATATATTTAAAGTTATTAATGTCCCTGTAGAATTTTATTAAACACATCTCTAAAACATATAAGGGGGTGTCATTATTTGGCAAAAAATAATTTACATTTTTTGTCTTTATTTTTGTGATGCATGGGTTAGTATTCTATAACTTAATTACAAACACATTTTTAAATATTTTACATTAATCTCTGTTGTTGATGTCTTGATAGCATTCTTTGTCTTATTTCATTCTATTAAATTGAAGATGCTTTTTATGGTCATAGATATGGACAGTTTTGTAAATATCCAGTTTGTACTAAATGTGAACATTCTGTATTTGTATGGATATTTATCTGTCAGGCCTGATTTATCAAACTTGGTGTGTGAATCCACTAGAACTTTAACACTTTGATATTGGCTGTTTCTACTAATTGCTTATACTGCTGATGTAAAAATGCCTGATATATTCATGGATTTATATCTTTATCCTTCTTATTCTAAAGTTCTTCCTTTATGTAATTTGAGTCTGTGTTATAAATTACATACCTGTTTTAGAATAGTATTATCTGTTTGGCGATGCTTTCTCTTTAAAATTTTTTTTCTGATGTAAATACATATTTCACGTTTTCATGTATTATTTTCAAAATAATTCTAACAGGTATGTTTTCCAAAACCTATTTGATATATTTCCATAATGTTATATTTTTAGACGTGTCTCTTGTATCCATACTACTGTTGCATATTTTTAATATATCAAAAATTACTAAACCAATGTTACCTCATTAAAAAAACTATCACTGACTGCTAATGTGAACATTTCCTCCATACTCGTGTCATGAGATAACTGATATATTTGGGTTTCGATACATCCTCCCTGGGTGGGTGCATGCTTTTCTCTGCTTCACTGGTTCTGTAAATTCCTTTTTAAAGACTTTCTATTGATTATTTCTTTATATTTCAGTTTTCCTTCTTCAAATCTCTAGACTATATACTCTGATTCTCTTCCATTAGTGTGTAAGCTGGACATGACAACACTTATTTAACACATTAAAGTATAAAGTTATTAATATCTTTGTTCTCCTTCTGGAAAATATACAAAATTTAAACATTAATTTGCTCGTCTCAGTTTATGCGCTATTGAAGATATGCAGGGTAATTCCATCATTCTGTCTCCAAAAATGAAATATTAATGTTTTACACAGATAACGAGTGATTGTATTATTCTACAAACACACCCCTCTCACAATCCTAATTTCTGCTATTGTCACAGACCAGTCACCTGGGATCACTTTTCCTCAACCTTCAACAGAATCCTTAAAGTGCTATTTGTGGTGTTTATTTTTGTCCATCAAATTTCTCATTTTTGGTCTTAAATAGTCTTATTTTATACTCTTTCTTCAAAGATGCATTTGTTGTGGATAGAAACCTGTTGGTAGTTATTTCTTCAACAGTTTCAGTATGTCCTTCCAGTGTGGCCCTGACACATAACTTTATATTGAGTGTCAGTGGGGATGTGTGTGTGTGTGTATGTGTGTGTATATATATATATATATATATATATATAGCTTCTTGGGCTTTGAGAAACAATAATTTGACCTGAGTTGCTGATGACATCACCCAGAGATCCTAACATTAACATGCAGTCAGTGAATGGATACGGTTTTCGTTGTCACATTAACAAGGTATAAGAGTGGAATGTAGATGATGAATAATAAAATGGGCATCTGGTGATCAAATTGATGGACTGTGCTAACAACTGACTAGGTGCTCACCAATACTATGTTTGGCTGCATGCCCAGCAGGGCTAAGACAGCTGGGTATCGTGCCAAGACACCTAAGCAATGACCTGGAGATGGTGGGTGAAACATATAGATTTATTGGGATTCACATACAGGGAAAATCCATGGGCAGCTGGCTGGACATAGATTTGCACACTGCTTCTGCCCCCTGAGAGAAGTTTATTTAAGCAGGCAGAGGAACAAAGGCTGCGTGCTTGTCAAGGGGGATTGTCTTTGTATGACCTGCATTGCAAGGATGAGAGCTCCCTGCGAGGGCCTCCGTGTTCCTTCACCGAGGGTTTTTGTGCTAAATCTCCCACCTGAATTGGCCAAGCCCAGGACTGTTATCATCATGAGTGCTGGCACATAGCCCACACAAGGGGCCTCAAGGACACATGGCTCTGAAGGGCATGCAGGCTAGTGCCCCTACACTGTTTCCTCTTTCTGGACACCCAGGAGGACAGGCATGTCCTAGCTTCCCTTACACTTAATTTGCTACCATGCTAATGAATTTTGGCCAAGGGAATACAGGCAGGAGTGACTGTGAAAATGCTTCTTTGTTTTGTTTAGTTTTCTTGAGGAAGATTAGCTCTGAGCTAACATCTGCTGCCAATCCTCCTCTTTTTGCTGAGGAAGACTGGCCCTGAGCTAACATCCATGCCCAACTTCTACTTTATATGTGGGATGCCTGCCACAGCATGGCTTGACAAGCAGTGTGTAGGACCACACCCAGGATCTGAACCCGCAAACCCCAGGCCACCAAAGCGGAATGTGCAAACTTAACCGCTGCACCACCAGGCTGGCCCCAATGCTTCTTCATTTTTTCTTCTCATTTGTGCTCCTTCCTGGGGTTGTCTCCTTGGGCCTCAGTGGTTCCAGATTTCATACCTCCTCAGGAATTACTGCTCCCTTGTGAGCTGCAGGTTTAGATAATGGGAAGATGATGTCTTAAGGAGGAGGAGGACCACACAGACCTGCTGACCTTGAGCCACTGGCTGTCAGGCTGGGCCATCTGATGATCATACATTTGTACCTGGGTCTGCCTGCCCTGAGATCCAGGAAGGAGGCAGGAGGAGTTTGAGTCTCTATTCCTGTGAATTAGACATGAATTATTACTCTGTCATCTTATGAAACAAACCATGATATGAAACCATGTTAACTCCACTGTCCACTTAAGCCTAAAGACAATTAGTCTTAATAGCCCTATGTTTTGAATCATCTGGCGTATAAGAATGTGTCCCTTGGACAACAGACCTACCTGTAATTTATGAAACCCTCCTGCATGTGATATTTTTAAAAATTCGAATGAGCCTAAATGTATATAGGTGTGATTTATGTGAAAATTTTAACCATTACCTGTGATGCTACTTGCTGAGTCAGGGAATCACTGTAGTTTATATTTTGAAAAATATGATCAGCGATTCTACAAAACAGGTCTCTGACATCCTCCAATAGCAGTATATGTGAGAACCTTGTGGTGACAATGAATGCTAAAATAGCTTGTATGTGTTTAGCACTAGGCCCTGCGTTAAGCACATTGCATCTCACTTCCCACGAAGTAGGTGTAGTAGTTTCCCATTTTAGTTATTGGACCTTTGGGGAAAAGGGTGGTCATAACTTTTAAACAGAGCCCCAGCTCTCAAAGTTGAACCAGGGCTCCATCCCAGAGTTTCTGTGTCAGAAGGTGTAGGTTAGGTCCATGACCTACAGGTGATGCTGAAACTCCCAAATCAGGGACCCAAATTTTGGATGAAGGAATTAGAGGAGCATTTAATGCTGCTACACAAAGGCCCCCACGAACGAGGTATATTCATTGTTTAATTTAAATCTCACTCCCCAAAGCTCAGAGAGGTGAAGCGGCTCTCCCAGGATTAAAGAATGGATCAGCCGTGGTGTTGGGAAAACTGGACAGCCACATGTAAAAGCATGAAAGTAGACCATTCTCTTACGCCATTCGCAAAAATAAACTCAAAATGGATCAAATACTGAAAGGTAAGACCTAAAACCTGTAAGACTTCTAGAAGAAAATATAGGCAGTACACTCTTTGACATCAGCATTAAAAGGATCTTTTTGGTCACCAGGTCTTCTCAGACAAGGGAAACAATAGAGAGAATAAACAAGTGGGACTTCATCAGACCAAAGAGCTTCTAAAAGGCAAAGAAAACAGGATTGAAATGAAAAGACAACCCACCAACTGGGAAAAAATATTTGCAAATCATATATCTGACAAAGGGCTAATCTCCATAACATATAAAGAACTCACACAACTCAACAACAAAAAATAAACAACCTGATCAGGGCAGGGGATGTGAACAGACATTTCTCCAAAGAAGATATACGGATGGCCAATAGGCACATAAAAAGATGCTCATTATCACTGATCATCAGAGAAATGCAAATCAAAACTACACTAAAATACCACCTTACACACTGTTGGTAGGAATGAAAACTAGTGCAACCACTATGGAAAACAGTACGGAGACTTCTCAAAAAGTTAGAAATACAAATACCATAAGACCCAGCCATGCCACCACTGGGTATCTATCTAAAGAACTTGAAATAAGCAATTCAAAGGGACACACACCCACATGTTCATTGCAGGATTGTTCACAATAGCCAAGACGTGGGAACAAACTAAGTGCCCATCGACTGATGATTGGATAAAGAAGACATGGTATACATATACAATGGAATGCTACTCAGCCATAAAAAAGGATAAAATCCTCCCATTAACAGCATGGATGGACCTTGAGGGTATTATGTTAAGCAAAATAAGCCAGATAGAGAAGGACAAACTCTGTATGATTCCACTGGTAGGTAGAAGAGAAACACATGGACAAAGGGAACAACAGACAAGTGGTGACCAGGGGGAAAGCGGATGGGATGGGGACAAAGGGAGAAGGGGCGCACCTATAAGATAACAAATAATAACATACAACTGAAATTTGACAATGTTGTAAACTATCATAACCTCAAAAAAGAGTAATACAACAAGTAAAGGAATGGGTCATATGCTGGAATCCTCTGAGGAAGTGGCATTCTCCCAGGTGACCACGGATATCTGAGCGCGTCGCCTTTAAGAGGAGCTCTGGCACTTAGGACTTTTCTCCCGGATCTTTCTCTCCCTGCTGGCCTTCCCGCCCAGCCGCTTCGCGGTTGTCATGGAGAACCGGAAACCCGAACGTCGCTTAGCGAACGCGGAGAATAAACTACGTTACCCAGAGGTCTGAGCGCGGCGCATCGCCTTAGCGCCAGTGACAGCCCGCACGACGGGCGTTCCCCGGTGTCCGGGCGGCAGAGGCGGGACTTCCGGCGTCCTGCGCGTGACGTGTTTTTCCTGTGCCGGGACTGTCCACACTGGCCGCGGAGGCTCCGAGTCCTGGGCTGGTGCGGTTCGGCCGCGGCGGGGAAAAGGACACGACCTCCGTCCGCGCCTTTGTTAAGATTCCTGATCCCCGTGGTGGGTCGGGCGACCCTGCGCGGAGCTGTCCGCGGGGCTTGCGCTCTTTCCGCGGCCTTCGCACCCGCCCTCGGTCCCCGGCGGCCCCCGCAGGCGGACCCGTGAGCCTGAGCCTGTTTACACGGGGGAGACTGGGGACGGAGGCGACAGTCGGTCCGAGTGCACCAGGCCCAGTGGAGGTGGGGGTCTCGGCTGAGCCCGCCGGGTCCGCCCGTTCGCCCGCTTCTCACGGCTCCGTTCTGCTCACAGGATCCCATGGCGGCCGCGGCGCTGTCGGACCGGGCTCAGGTGAGTGGAGGGGCCCTCCAGCCCTCACGACTCGGATGTAGGGGAGGGTGTGTTCTAGACTTGATCACTTCGCCCTCATCGCTCCGTCCTGTTGAGTATGAAGGCGCTGGAGGGCGGTGATCACCCCCGGCGGATAGATGGCGAGGTTGCCATTCCCAGGATCGATGGGATGAGGTGTGAAAGGGTTTCCAAGGCGCAGGAGGCATCGGGTCCACATACTTGGAGGTGAGAATGGATTCGGAGTGTTCCGGGAACCGCAGGTCTCTCTCCTGTCTGGTGAGAACAGAGGGCAGTCGGTCAGAGATCAGGCGTGGAATGGCAGTCTCGGAAGCTGAGCCTCTGTTGTGGTGGCAGTGGGAGCCGTGGAAGGTTTGGAACAGAGAAGGGAGGTGATCTGACTTAGGTGTTAACAGGTTCCGTCTGGCTACAGAGTGGAAAGATTGAGGGGCATGGGAGTGAGCAGGGAGACCATGATGGAGCCTACTGCAGTAGTCCAGGTGAGTGTTGGTGGTGGTTGGACCAGAGTGGTGGCCGTGGAGGTTAGAACAGTGTATGCATTTTGTATATACTTCTAAGTAGGGCCAACCGGATTTTCTGACGGGACAGTGATATTCTGTGACTCTTCACCTCTCCCTCGCTGTGCACTTGAGTGTGCTGGGCCCTAAAAGTGGGTCATTTCTACTCCAGCATCCTGGATCTGGGCCACAAGTTATATGTAGAGGTTGCCAGTTCTGACAGCCAATAGGATGAGGACTGGAGGTATCTTAGGCTCAGGAACAGCATGTGCAAATGCTTGGAGGTTAGATCAAGTTGAGAGTCCTCAAGGAACCACAGGTCTGAATTATGTCTGTTGGGAACCGGGCCAGGAGTCAGGCAGGAATGGGAGGCTGAGGAGCTGGGCCTCTATTCTGGGGGTGGGTGAAGACATGGAAGATTTGGAGCAGAAGAGAGAGGTGCTCTGGCTCAGATCTTAACGGGCTCCCTCTGGCTGCTCTGTGGTTGAGAACAGAGGACGGGCATGAGCATGGAGGAGCCTACTGCAGTGGTCCCCGTGAGTGTTGATGGGGGCTGGGCGAGTGGGGCGGCTGTGGGAGTGAGAGAAGTTGGTGCATTTTGTGTCTGTTTTTTAAGCAGGGTGACTGGCTTTTCTGATGTGAAATGTGAATGAGAGAAAGGGAAGTGTCATACGTGACCCCAGGGCTTTTTTGGCTTTAGTTGGTAGGGTGACGGAAGTACCATCAAGTGAGATGGGACAGTCGGTGGCAGGAGTAATTACTACTGTGGCTGTATCAGGAGTTATGTTAGTGTAAGAAGTCCCAGGGACCTCTTAGTTGAGGCATCCAGCTGGACACAGATTTTTAGTTCCGAGGAGGGGTTCTGGTCAAATTCAAAAGGTGGCAGTGAAAGTCTGGAATGGGGTGGAGCTGTGGGTTAAATTTAGGAGGGAGTATCTTCAAGTAACGGTGACAATGCCGTTAAAAACAAAGTTGAAACCGGGCCCTGAGGACTGGGTCTCTTGCTTAGGCAGCTGGGTGGCGGTGGTATCTGTCATAAAGACCTGAGCGCTTCCTGGACACCATGTGCAGAGTGGCATGGCGGGAGATGCCTTGCAGGTGCATGTAATGTGGACCAGAAGGTTGTCAGTGGTGGTGGGGGTCCCAGATATGAGGAAGGGGTGATTCAAAGAGTGGTGTACATGTTGGGAGGAGTGTGAACTGACCACCTTCAGGTTGTGTCTGGGAGGCATGGGCTGGACACCAGGAGAACCGGCCAGCAGGAGAGGGTTTGGTGCCCTTCATGCCAGACCCGTAGCTTACGTAGTATCTGTCCACCTCCCTGCCTGATTCTGCTCTGGGTGCACAGGGTGATCAGAAGGACACCAGGAGAGAGTGGGCACTAGCGGTGTCGAGCCTGCTGTCTCCTCTGGGTTGGGAGGGTGAGGAGGTGAGGGACCAGGGAGTGGGTATGTGAATGGATATGCTGGGGAGTCCTGTTGCCCATGGGCTCAACTGTCCCCATGGTGGCAGGACTGTGTGACCTTCGAGGATGTGTTCGTGTCTTTCTCCCGGGAGGAGTGGGAGCTCCTCGAGAAGGCTCAGAGACTCCTGTACCGTGATGTGATGCTGGAGAACTTCGCGCATGTGGCCTCACTGGGTAAGTCCTTGTTTCAGTTATCTGTTGCTACGTAGCAAATTATGCCAACATTTAGTGACTTACAACGAAAAGATGAATTATCTCAGTTTCAGTGCATGGGGAGTCTCGTCACAGCCAGCTGGGTGCTTTTGGCCCAGAGTCTCCCATGAGGTTTCAGTCAAGCCGTCGGCCACAGCTGTGTTGTCATGTGAAGGCCAGTCTTGGGAAGAATCCAGACTTACAAACTCGTTCATGTGGTTGTTTGCAAGATTTAGTTTCTTGTGACTTCTTTAACTGTGAGCTTTAATTCCTCACTGGCTATTGCAAAGGCCTCCCTCGGCTCCTTGTCATGTTGGCCTTTCTGTCGTGTGCCTCATAACATGGCAGCTGCCGCGTCTCTGAGCAAGTGAGCAAGAGAGATGGATGGAAACTAGTCTTTTTCTGACTTGACCTGGAAGTGACATCCCATCACTTTTGCCATATTCTGTTCCTTAGAGATGGGTCATTCAGTGCAGCCTGCAATCAAGGGAAGACGCTTAGACGAGGACAGGAGTAGTGGGAGGCATTCATTCCAGGGGGCCATCTTAGAGGCTGCCTTCCACAGACCCTCATGCCCACTCCAGTGTCCTTGGGGTTTGGTTATTCCCGTGTTCCCTTGGGGCAGCTCTTTCTGTTCTGCCAGATCAGTGACTCTCCTTCCTCCCTTCTTTGGTTCCCAGAGTAGGTGCTATGGGTGCCATGGCTGGGCCGTGTGCAGTGTCCCCTCCCTCTCTGAGCAGTCCCAAAACCTGCTGCCCAAAGCCTTGCAGGAATGGCTCAGGGGTTCAGGGCTTTTCCAGTCAGCTCCATAGAGTCTGTGTGGTTTGGGCCGCCTGACTATCCAGTTCCGTGCTGCCTCTGTGTCCCAAGTTCTGCCCTCATCCTCTAGCTGCCATTTCCTGGGCTGACTAGGGCAGGCTTTGCAGAAAGTGACATGTCACTACTTGTGGAATTGCGAGGCTTTTCTGCCAAATCTTCCTTTAGGTTCTTCTTCTTGCATTTCATTTTCTTCTCTGGGCCATGCATCTGCCCTATGTTTCCTGTACAACTTCCGCCTTGTAGATCCCATGTAGTTTGCCCTTGGAGAGGGGCAGGAAGCCCTGGGTGCCTGACGGGGCCGACCTGACTCCAGCCACAGTGAGAGACGCAGAGAGGGCTGGGCACTGCTGAATGGGAACTGGAGAGAGTGTCCTGTTAGGGCTGGGGTCACATCGTTCCTTCAGCCTGCTTTGTGTTCACCACTCTTTTCTTGCCAAGGCCCGTGGCAATTCCTCATTTCTGCCTTTCCTTCCCCATTCTTGGCACTTTGCCCACTTTTCATTTCGCTCCTGTCTTCCATCCCTTGGCTGTTTCCCCACTTCTCTGACCTCTGGGTCTCACACAGGCTTCTGCACAGAGTTCTCCTGACACCAGCAGCCAAGGCCCTGCTGAAACCCTTCGGTAGAGGAGTGAGTGGGAGACCTCCCGTCTATTTCCTGTAGCGTGCATCATCATTGTGTCTTTACCCATCATTAGGGTTCTTCCATACTGTGAGCTTTAGAGACCCAGGACTGACCAGGGGTCCTTCCTCATCCTGATCCTGGCTCTCTCATCCTGCCAGCAAATCAATTGACACATTCATGGTGTGTCACACACATAAACGATGGGGCTGCTCCTTCCCACCATGGTTAACAGGTGCTTCACCAACATTTCTTTGTTTTCAGGTTGTTGGCGTGAAGCAGACAGTGAGGAGGCCCCTTCTGAGCAGAGCAATTCCATAGGAGTGCTGCAGATCAGGACTGCAATGTCAGGTTCATTTATCCAGGAAGCCTACCCGTGGGAGATGCGTGACCTACTCTTGAAAGACATTTTGCACCTGCCTGAACACCAGGGATCACACTCCACGCAGAAACTGTACACATGTGGCCCCTGTGGGAGAGGATTCTTGTCCAGTGCAAACTTCTACCAGCACCAGAGGCGATATGCTGGAGAGAATCCCTTCTGGGAGGATGATGGTGGGGCCTCATTTGTGAAGAGCTGTGCAGTCCACATGTTAGGGAGACCCTTTACTTGCAGGGAGGAAGGGATGGACTTGCTGGACAGCTCTGGTCTCTTCCAGCACCAGACCACTCACAGTGGGGTGAGTCCGTACAAAAGGACTGAGTTCCCGGAGTCTCTCCCACGCAGCTCCAGTCTCGGGCAACACCAGGGAGACCCTGATAAACGGATGCTCTTCAGTTGCAGTGACAATGGGCAAGGCTTCCTGAACACCTTCACTCTCCTTGAGAACCAGGTAACTCACTCTGAAGTGAGATCCTTTAGATGCCTACCACGTGGAAGTATGTCCAAGGAGAAACCAGCTCTCGTTCATCACAGAAAAATCCACAGTGGAGACACATCACATGTGTGTAAGGAGTGTGGAAAGGCCTTCATTCACCTGTCCCGCCTAAAAATGCACCAGAGACTTCATACTGGAAAAAGACATTACACATGCAGTGAATGTGGGAAAGCCTTCAGGCGTAAAGACACACTTGTTCAGCACCAGAGATTTCATACTGGAGAAAGGCCTTTTGAGTGCACTGAATGTGGAAAATTCTTTAGCCAAATATCCCACCTTGTTCAGCACCAGAGAATTCACACTGGGGAAAGGCGTTATAAGTGCACTGAATGTGGAAAAGCTTTTAGTCGTAAAGACACACTTGTCCACCACCAGATAATTCACAGTGGAGCAAGGCCCTATGAGTGCAGCGAATGTGGGAAAGCCTTCAGCCGTAAAGACACACTTGTGCAGCACCAGAAAATCCACACTGGGGAAAGGCCTTATGAGTGTGATCAATGTGGGAAATTCTTTAGCCATAGCTCCAACCTTAGTGTACACCAGAGAATTCACACTGGAGCGAAGCCTTATGAATGTAGTGAATGTGGGAAATGCTTTAGCCACAACTCCAGCCTCATTCTACACCAGAGAGTTCACACTGGAGCAAGGCCTTACGTGTGCAGTGACTGTGGAAAAGCCTATATTAGTAGCTCCCACCTTGTTCAACACAAGAAAGTTCACACTGGAGCCAGACATTATGAGTGCAGTGAATGTGGGACATTATTTAGCTGTAACTCTAGCCTCATTCTACACCAGAGAGTTCACACTGGTGAAAAGCCTTATGTGTGCAGTGAATGTGGGAAAGCTTATGTTAGTAGCTCCCACTTTGTTAAACACAAGAAAGTTCACACCCGAGCCAGATCTTATGAGTGCAATGAATGTGGAAAATTCTTTAACCGCAATTCTAGCCTCATTCTACACCGGAGGGTTCACACTGGAGAAAAGCCTTACTTGTGCAGTGAATGTGGGAAAGCCTACAGCAGAAGCTCCCATCTTGTTCGGCACCAAAAAGTTCATACTGGAGAAAGGCCTCACGAATGCAGCAGTCTTGGTGGTCCTTTAGCTGCATCTCTTAAACCTGTTTAGCACTGGAAAGTTGACACTAGAGAAAGGCCTTAGGAATGCAGAAAATATGCTATCTCCTTGTTCAACCTAATGGGGCTCACACCAGAGTAAAGTTCTGTGAGTACCCTTCGTGAGGAAGCAATCAGCCAGTAGGTGAATCTTGTAGGTTTATACATCCACCCTGGGGAGATTCCAATAAGTACCACATAGGTGGGAAGATCTCCTGAGGTGCTTTGCACTTCCTAAACTGTGCAGGGCTCTTGACAGAGTTCTGTCACTGCCTGTGCCTGAAGCCATCTCATTGCTACCAGCTGTCAGGATCACACAGTCTGTGTCAGTTGCTCCAATATGCTCAGGGAAGGCAGATCCCTGTGCCTTCTCTCCTACTCCCTGGAGGGAATCGTGTGTTTGGAGCCCATTGACAGCCCTCCTTTCCCTCCCCCATGACTGGGTTGTGAGTGAACTTGGTCTTCACTCTGGCCAGAATAGTCTGAGCTGGTGACTGCCAGGGATTTCCAGACGAGATTTCCCTTCTCTATGGACAATGTTGACTGTAAACATGAGAGCTGTGTTTCCAGATCACCCAGCTTTGGAACAGCTACCTTGTACTGCTCTTCTTTGTGCAGAGATAAAGGCCTGTTATAGCAGTCTTTACTCTTGGGAGGGGTCTTTTCACTGTGTGGAATGGGTTGAGAAAAGAATTTTGTTCTGCTGTATGAAGGGAGGAACTCCTTTTGTCGGCACCAACTTTATGTGACTCGGAGGGGGTCAGCCAGATGGCACAGAACAGATCTCAGTCTGGTTTGGCCTACTTGCCAAACCTAAGGTCACTTATGTTTTCTCCTATGTTATCTTCCAGGTGTTCTATAGTTTTGTGTTTGCATTTAGGTCTGTTTGCCATTTTGAGAACATTTTTTAAAAGGTTTAAGATCTTTATCTAGATAATTTTTTAACATGAAGATGTCCAGTAGTTCCAGCACCATTTGTTGAAAAGACTATCCTTTCACCATTGCTCCCTTTTCAAAGATCAGCTGATTGTATTTGTGTGGATCTACTTGACTAAGGTCCAATTTTTTTCCATTTTTTGAGATAATCATTGTGTGGGTATGGCTTTTTTTGTCTTTTATTTTATTTACATGGTATATTCCATCAATTGATACTAAGATGTTAAACTAACCTTGCATTTCCCGGGACAAATCCCACTTGGTCAGGATGTATAATTCTTTGTATGTTTTGCCAAATTTCTGATACTTTTAAAATGTATTTTACATGTATATTGATGAGGGATAATGGATTTATCTATTTCTTTCTTGTTATATCTCTGTCTAACTTTGCTGGCCTCTGCTCTCATGAGTAAATCAGTCCTCATTGACAGATTAATGATATTTCTTCTTTAAATGTTTGCTAGAATCCCTTAGTGAAGCCACCTGAGCCTGGAGTTTTCTTGTGGGAAGATTCTCAATAAACATTACTTAGTATAGTCGTGTATAGATTTTTCTACTTATGTCAGTTTTCATAATTGGTGTCTTTCTAGGAATTTGTTCATTTCCACTAAATTGTCTAATTTCGGAGGATAGAGATTATTTATAGTATTCCCTTATGATGCTTTTAATGTCTGTAGGGTCAGTAGTGTCATCATTCCTGAGTTTGTTAATTTGTTGTCTTCTTTGCTTTGTCAACCTACCTAAAGTTTTGTCAATTTTGTTGATTTTTTGAAAGAATCAACTGTTTGTTTCATTGATTTTTATTTTTTAGTGTTTTTTTCATTTTCTATTTCAGTGAGTTTTGTCCTAATCTTTATTATTTCCTTTCTTATCATTGCTTTGGGATTAGTTAGGCTTATTTTTGTGGTTTCTTAACATGGAAGCTTAGGTTATTGACATCTTTATTTTTCTGTAATAAGTTGTTTAAAGCTATCATTTCTCTCTAATGATTTAATTTAGCTGCATCACATCGATTTTTATATGTAGCATTTTTATTTTCATCTAGTTCAAAATATTTATGTTTTTAAAATTTAACTTGTAATTTCTCCTTTCATAGGATATTTGGCAGTGTGCAGTTTCATAAGTCTTTCTCAATTAAATTTTCAGGGCTATTATCACAGAGTGGGAGGAATGCTTTTAATTTTTCAGTTAAGGGCCCAGGTATTATAATTAAGGGCTTGAAATGGAGAAAATCTGTGGGTTATTAGAAATATCTTTCACTCTGAAGAATATTTTGAGGAAAGCTGTCAGGTGTTTAATGTAGAAAAAGTAGCACCCGTATCTTCCACGGATGGATGAGGATGACCGTCTGTCATTAATTCATCTTGAGTGCTTAAGGATGTGGCAGGTTATTGAGCTCTTTTTCCTTCCTCAGAGGACCCTCATTGATCTGAACTGAGGGATTTTCTTTGTCTTGCTTTTTCTTTCATAAAGTGGGACCATCCTTTTTCCGGTGTCTCTTCTGTTTACAATATATTCAAGTCTCCTTGTCAATAGGTGGTTTGTTGGAAAATGAGTCCCTTAGCTGTTTAATCTGCAGGGACATAAGTTTACTTTGGGTAAATTTTTAATTTCATTTATATTCCATTTTGATTCCAAAAGCTTTTCAAAATGTACTGTCAGGTGTTCTATTTAAGCTAAAGGAGCTATTAGTTATTCTAATTTCTGTTTTCAAATTAGGTCTCCAATTCAGGTTTAACACCATTGATAAAATGACATGAAACAGCTGCTGTTACATCAGCACCTCTGTAACCCTGTAAATGTTACCAAAAGGTATTTTTCTAATCTGTCCTGAAAATCTCCTATGGTGTCATCTAATTTTTTGTTTCAATGATCAAATTACTGTGCAATTGTTTTTTGTTGTAAATATTTCAAGTATGGCCTGTAGGAGAATTGGATGTACTCTTCTGGCCTTTCTGTGACCCTCAGGTTTATTGTGGAAGGAGGATTCCTGTTAGTCCCTTTCTGGGTCAGTCCAATCAGCTTCAGCCATTCACGATTTAGCATCTGAGTTGTATGAGTTAGGTAGCCCTGGGTCACATGTACCTTAAAGAATTCTAAATTCTTTTATGACTATTTGCTCGTCTTTTTTGGGTTGAGGGGAGTCTTTAGTTATATCTCTTAGTTCAGCTCAGGTCCAAGGTTTAAATTCTGCAGTTTCCCGAATGCGTGACTCATGCAGTGAATCTTAGAGGTAACTGGCATTTGGGGCTTTAAGAGAGTTGTTGGTAAAAGGCAGGGCATCTGGGCAAGGGGAAGAGAAGCAGGAGGAGGTGCTGAAATAGATCAGAAGGATAAGGGCGAAGAGAGAGCTAGGTATGAGGAGGCAACTGGAGGACAAGGACAGGGAGGATTTACTAGGGGAATGAGGCTCCTTTGTTATTGCTGAAGTTTGTCAAATTGCTCATTGGTTTTGGCCAAAGAATCTTTTAGTGATGCAGTTTTTGATTCAGCATTTCATTTGGAGGCCTCTTTATACTAATGTAAAAATATTGCCCTCCTCAGAATTCTTATTTATTTTCAAAGGTGCCTTTCAAATTAGCACTTTTGTTCAAATCAAATGTCCCCCCAGAGGGGCCATTGAATGCCTACATCATCCTTGGTGCAGTTACCTTACTTAGAAAGCTAGGCACAACAATTAGGATTGTAACAGGAATACATAGACAACGCAGGAGGGTTTCATGGAAGAGGAGAGGATTTAGACTTAGACCACTCTGTGAAAGCACATGATGACTGGTAGAAATGTAAAGCTTCTAGAACTCAGGCCCCTAACCTGACAGCTGGCCATCTCACACCACAGACCCATAGTCTGCCCCTGGCATGCGAAAACCAGAGGGATCGTTCACTCTAGACTATAGCTGTTCTCAATACAAAAGTTAAGAGGGAAGGAGACCTCATTTGATTCATTGGGGACCCACAGCAAAGTTTGCCCACGTAGTGGCTAGTACAGTAAGAACTGCAAACCCACTGGTCTGTGAGGCTACCTTGCACAATAGGCTTATAGGGCAATGCCTGTGTTCTACCTAGGATTCAGCTTCTTAGGACAACACTTAGCACAGAAAGAAACCCAGTAACTTAAAGGACAGCAAAAAAGTATCAGAATGGCCTGGTCCACCAAGAATCCCAAACAACTGGGAACTAATAACAAAACCCAGGTATCAAACAGAACGAAAGCCAAGGAACTGAACACAAAGAGAGCCAAGTTTAGACCTTGTGCTGACTCACCTCAGCTTCGCAGACTCCACTTCCCCTGAGCAGCAAGGCACAAGGGACATCTGTGGTTGCTGCACCTGGTGGAAGGCTGGGGTCTCCAGTGACAGGCAGTGCAGACTGTATGTCAGTGGGACTTCCATGATAACTATAATAGATTGTAACATAGCTTCTACAGTGGGCACATTTAATTTATCTTCTTCCATTGTCGATTGAACATTGATGGATGAGACGCAGGCTCAACAATAGTGTGAGCTGGAGGAATGATGATATACAGGGGGAAGTTGCTTACAACTTCTATTATTTTAGCTTCTTAAACTGAATTTCTGTTAAATTATTTTTTTCACTTGCTTTGATACTATGAAATCATATGTCTCTTGTGCTTAACTGTTAGTAATGTTGATTTACATGTGTCCATCATTTTCAATATTGAATGAACAATTGCATACCACACACCTTGAAGAAGATTTTTACCACACTTATCCACTCTTAAGGGAATTCATCACAAAATTGACACTTGCAGTTTGGCATTTTTTGTATTCAGTATACACAAAAAAAATGGATAACAGCACTTTAGCGAGAACAGAAAAGTTGCCTTTTCAGTCTGACATCTGTGTCAGTTCATATGCCACTCACAAGTCCAAACTCATAACTAGTGTAAATAGAGGTTGACCCATTGAAAGCTTTGCAAACTTGTGAACTAACAAGGAATTGAACTTGGTATCTCATACGAAAAAAGAAGTGAACTTTCTGTTTCTAAGGGAGAGTTCTGGTAATCAGGCAGTCTCCTCAAAGACAGCCAGAGCTTTAAGCTTTTGGGAAGTCTGGCAATCCAGAATTGGCGGGCTTTCAGAAATGGGCGTGTTTAAGGATTGAGGGACTTTCAGGTGTGTCACTGAGGTTGCTACTGTTGACTAGTTGACTTTCAGAAACGCGGTTATTGAAGTGAGGCACTTGCTGATTGGCTGTTGCCTAGGAGCCTGCGCTGTCACTGATTGGCAGGCTTTCAGGACTGGGATAAGATGCCCCCTTTGCACTCCTGGTCAAAATGTCAGAAAGGCATCCACCATCCCAGCGGAATATAATGTGATACATCCCTGTTTTTTGTATCTCACATATGGAGTAATAAATATTATCTGAATATAAATCTTGTTCTGTCTCTTGGGACACCGTCACTGACTATACAGGTAGGAAAGCTGTTTTCTTCGGGAACCACAGGCACAGCGTCACTCTTTCTAACCACTTCAGTGCCTCCTGACATTCCTCCTGCAAGATCCCCGTCATAGCCCTGTCGGGGAGCTTTTCTTACTGTCCCTGACCAAACCTACTGAAGCTCATAAAAACCACCCCAAAGCGTCAGCGTCCATGTCTAGGACAAGTAACAAGATAGCTGACAGCTATGAGGGGACGCCGAGTGACATCACGGTATGCTCTGTCGCTTTCTATGAGCAGCCCGTGGGAATGTGCTGCCATTCCTGGAGTCTAAAAGGAGGTTTGTACACATTTGGGTGACGTCCTAGACTGCACCCAAAGGAAATCTGGAGTGACTCCTTTAAGACCCAGCAAAGCCCATCCCAGGTTGGAATCCGGGAACTCCATCAATCAGAGCAGGTCACGTGTCCCTCAGCCTTTATTCCCAGAGTCCAGAACCACCTACTTTCTGCGAAAGGGCGGTAACAGCATGGAAACTACGTTACCCAGACAGCTGCGCGACGAGCGGCGACGACACACAGAGCCAGTGAGGGCTTCGCAGGGAGAGGCGCTTTCCTGCGTCCGCATCGCGTGGGGGCGGGACTTCCGGCGGCTTCATTGTGCTGTTGGCCTTTTCACTCGCTATCGGGTCCTGAGTCCGGAGTTGGGACGGAAGTGAATAGAAAGTTCGAGACTGGACGTTGTCCCCGTTGCGCAGAGAGGGTCGTGAAGCCAACAGAGCCGGTGGGGACGCGGCGGCTCTGCTCCCGGCCCCGGCGGTCCGCCGGTCGGTGGCGGAGGCCGCGCCGCCTGGAGTGGGTGGCGCGTTCCCGGGCCTCCCCCGGCCCGACTCCCGCCTCCAAGGGCTGGAGGCCGGGTGGAGGGGCGCGGCCTCGGGGTCCGGGCGGAGGGGCGGGCGCGGTGCCGTGGGAGCCGCTGGGCTGAGGTGTGGACGGGGCTCCGTCAGGGCCGGCCGGGCCGAGGCTGCGGGGGCTCCGGGGTCAGCAGTCTCGGGGGCGCCGGGGGCCGTCTTGTCCGCAGGGAGCGGGGGCGAGGAGGAGTCCCGCCCGCAGCGGGGCATTGTGACGCGGGAGAAGCGGCGGGACGTGCCCAGAGAGGCGCTTAAAGGGGCCAGACGGGGTGGAGGACAGGCAGTGGAGTCCGGGGTGTGATGGAGGCGCTGGCCCACAGCCGTGGCGTAGAGCAGGGATGTGATGGGATTTGGGACCGACTTTTAGGGTCACAGCATTCTCTGCTGCGTGCAGTGTGGCGGTGAGCAAAAGTAGGGAGAGAAGCATCCCCAGTTTCTTTTTGCCTGAACCTTGAAAAGAACAGAGATGGGGAAGTGAGTGCAGGGAGCGGGCTTCACAGAGAAGATGACGGGTTCCCTCTGGACGCGGTGATTCTTAGAGATCTCGGGATGGAGTTGTGAGAAGGTGGAGACGTCGCTTGGGTATGTGGCCATAAAGGTTCGGAGAGCAGGCAGAGGGCTGGGCTGCAGGGGTGCAAGGGTGGAGGGTGTGTTCTGGGGATCCGATGGAGGAGGGAGTGTCTGAAGGTGGTGGTTTCAGATGGGCCCCGTGTTGAGGCAGGGGAGGGCTGAGACTTAGGGGACGAGGGACCGGGAGGTGGGCATCCCTGATGCTTCGTCCGGAAATGAGACAACCTTCCTTGGAGGGTTCTGGCCTGTGTCTCTAGAAAGAAAGGTCTACATGGGTGAGGAATTGGCCTGAGATGGAGACTGAGGTGTGAGGTGGTTTCGATTCTCCAGGCTGTAGGCTGAGCAAACCCTCAGGCCGCTCCCTGTGGACAAAGGGAAAGGTCAGCCAGGCTGGTGGAGCAGCTGGGTCCCAGACGAGGGCACTGCAGCCTCACCTCCTCCAGGCTTCAGAGCAAGACGATGGTCCGCAGTCCAGTCAAGGCCTCTGCAGGCTCCCTCAGAGGACTGTGGTGCAGGCAGGCCGGTTGCTGAAAGGACTAGTAGCTTGACTTGCATGCTCAGCTCCTCCTTACAACTGGATAAGTTAAAAGCATGTGAAACAGTTATTGATTTAAGTACCAGGTAAGCAGTATTTCGCTAAGTATGTCCAATTAATAGACTCTTAGATGTGAACATATTCATTAAGTTAAACTTATTCAAACAATTAACGACTAGTAGGGACTTAAATTTATTTATAGGTATTTCCTTACAGTGGAAAGCTTTATGTATGTGTCATATCTTCTTAAACCTTAAAAGTGGGAAAAATAGGGGCCGGCCCCGTGGCTTAGTGGTTAAGTTTGGGGGCTCTGCTTCCACGGCCCAGTTTTTGCTGGCTCTGATCCTGGGTGCGGACCTATCATGGCTCATTAAGACATACTGAGGCAGCATCCCACATAGAACTAGTAGGACCTCCAACTAGGATATACAACTGTGTACTGGGCGGCTTTCTCCCGAACAAGGAAAAAAGAGAAAGATGGACAACAGATGTTAGCTCAGGGCCAGTCTTTAAAAAAAGTAGGAAGACTCTTCCTTTATTAAAACAAACAAACACACACACACACACACACAGGAAAAGTATCCCAAATTTCTAAATCCTACTACTTCATTTGCACTTAAGGAATATACAGAACTATTAATACTATGGACAGTAGTCATTGATCTGTAGTGTCTACCATGAATTTTTGGTAACAATATTAGCCCTATGAGATGGAAACCATTCTTATTCCCATTTTATAGGTGAGGTAACTGAGGCTCAGGGAAGTTCACTTCTTGTTCAGAGTCGCACAGCTGGTAAGAAGCAGTGAGGTCTGAGGAGCTGAGCTTAGACCATCCGCCTGAGATCACTTTGTACTGGGACGGGTCAGAGAAGGTGGTACAGCTCAGCCTGTAGGATCCTTCTCTGGTTACCCATTTCTTATGGCCTCCCTCTGCCCACAAGGCCCCCTGTCAATGGCAGAAATGCTTGTGGACCCTGCACAGGTGAGTAGAGGGTGTCCCAGGCCTTTGCTCAACTCACTATCACCCCAGTGTTTTTCACATCACAATATTGGGAATGCTGATGCCCTGAGACTCTTCACCTATCCTTCTTCCACTGTTGAGTGAGAGGACAATGTGATTTCACCAGGCCAGGGGTCCTGAACTCACTCTGAGGTTATGTGGTGCTGTTTCCATTTCTGACAATTGTTGGAATAACATGTGACGGGGGATCCTGGGCACGGGATCTAAACTGTTCACATGTTTGCTGGTGAGACTGAGCTGGAATCTTCCAGAAACTGCAAGTCTCTGTTGTATCTTGTGGGAATATGGAGCTGGTATTGGGTGGTGGGATGGCCCAGGGATCAGGCCTGGAATGACAACCTCAGGTTCTGGGCCTCTAATGTGCAGGGTGATGGGAGTGAGGGAAGCTTTGGAGCAGAGGAGTGATGTGATCTCGTCCAGTTTGAGTAGGCTGTCTCTGGCTCAAGTGGAGGAGAAAAGTAGGGGTGAGGGGGTAGGCAGGGAGATCTGGGAGGAAGCTCTTACCACAGTGCAGGTGAGTGCTGGGGGGAGTGGAAAAGAGTGGC